TATATATCCCTCGTTTTGATAAATAGTACATTTATATTCTAGGAATAAAAAATGGTAATTACGACCTTGGGATAACTTTCAGATATAATTTTTATATGAGAATACACTTCATGCATCGGTTTCATCATCTCGAATTCACCTTCCTAATTTGACCAGATCAAGTAATAAATAGGGGCGAGGGAAGCTTTTTGTAAAGTACTGAACGTGTAAACCCGTCTTTAGTTATAATTCTAACTACGTACTACTCTCTCACATATCTTACTCTCCTCAAGCGTGTGTGGAACGTAATCACTGTTTTCTTGACTGTTTAAAATAGACGATCTCAGTCAACTGGACACCACTTACCATAGCGTCTTTGTATATTTCGACCAAGTGACCATGTTGTCGACGAGTGGTCAGATCGAATTCAAATGAACTGAAATTGATTTGGTTTCAATGTTTTATTCTCACGTACGAACATTTGTGTGTTACCGGAGATAAATAGTTATTTATTCAGTGTAGTTGTGGAGATTGTTATATTGTTTACGCCAACATCCGATACATTGTACTGATTACAGGGTAAATTCACTGGAGTGCTCTAGAAACTTCAAGCAAGAAAATTTCAATTTGCTGTTATCTTGTTTCCAAAGCGAGAAGAAAGATACAGTTATTTATGTATATATAGTTATTTATGTATCTAAGGCGCTAAGTGAACGGTTGGGATGTGAAGCCCAGCTCTCATCTGTGGCTGCTACGAACTCAGAAGTGGACTATTGATGACGAACTTGCGATGAACTGGACAAAGAGGATCACTTGAGCGTCGTGGCCCACTAGAAGTGCTCTTCAGGAGCTGCTGTGAGCCTGCTCTGCCGATGTGTGGCTGCGACGTGGAAATAGGCACCAGCCCTTTCGAGCCCTGAACAGGTGCCACGGGTGTAAGACGCGGAATTTTGCACTGCTTCGGGCGAGCGCCGGTCCGTCCTCGCATTCCGGGACCAGCTAAGCGATGGCCAGGCCTCAAGGAACTGGGGAAGGATTGTTGAATACATCCGAGGGTATACCCGTTCCTGGCTACATCGACCCGCCCGTTGGCACACGAAGCGCTGGCGATACTACATATTATGGAGAATAGAAATCTGCAGACGATGGGGATTGATTCTTTTCACAGGAGGGAGAGTTCACAGAGGACGCCACCCGGAAGGCCAAGATCAGCTTTTCTGGATGAATTACCATTTCAAATTGCAGGAGTCAGCACCATAGAAGGCAATCCTCGAGAACGATGAATTTGGTGACCTATTGGAGCTGCTAGTAACCAAAACTAAATCACTGGAAGGGTACGTTGGTCAAATAACCAATACCAAAAAGGAAATCAAGGATACAGGCGCTGGAGATCAGAAGATTGTCACTCAAGGTTCAGCGTCTATATAGACAGCAACGTAGTAGCCCTAGTGACTTGCGGGAATGCGAGACGCAAACTGAATGGGCGCTTCAGGGAGGCGCCGAAATTCAGACAAGAGACTCTAGGATGAGTACAAAGGATGCTGCTATCCAGACTGCAGCGATAGATAATGAGACGCGGAAAGCGATGCAAGAGATCAGCGAGAAACTAGACAAGGGAGCATCGCTGGAAGAGATCGGCGAAATTGTGGATAGGGAATGGCCCCAGGAAATATACACAAAGTTGCAGACAGTGACAGGAGATGTTATGAGTGCTCCCCAAGGGCACGATCTCTGGTAGTGCCGACGACATCCGATCTTAAGATGGGAAAAGGTCTGGCAAGAATATTGAAAGAGCGGTACAACGGACTGGAAGAGCTGGGATTTCAAGAGCAGGTACTGGGTGGGGTCGCTTATCCGTATCGCTGTTCCAACAGACAAAGGCCACAAGAAAAAAAAGAGGTTTGTATGGTACTTGCTTGCCTAGGAGGAACCCTTAGAACTTGCGGAAACAGGAAAAGTATATGACGCCGTATTAAAACTAAGAGACATGATGCTAGATAACAGGAAAATGATTGCCATACCATCAATTGAGAGATACAGGGGCAACGAATTAGCGAAAATACTAGAATTCGACGTGGATATCTGTATCTACAGAAGAGAAACTAGACCAAAGAGAGACAAAGCAGATAAGACTCGACCCGGCAGCCCAGAGAAGGCACGCAATGCAAAGAGACGTATTGCCAAGGAGAGGGAAGGGGTGCTTGTTAAAAGCGACGGCAAGTCTTATGTATATCTTGCAAAGAATCTGAAAGCAGGGGTGAATCTGCAAAATGTAGAGATGGAAATCTCAAAAATGCGTGAGACTCGCTGGGAGTTGAAGGGCAAGGCTGAAGATGTAAGCGAGGCTATGGATAAACAGGTAAGCGGAGCGAAGACACTGAAGAAAAGTAGGCAGGTGTATTTCATGTAGCGGGCCTCGCCAGTACCACAAACGACGACGAGGTAATAGGAGCCAGAAATGTTGCGTTAGGTGAAGAAGAGAAGGACTTTAGACTGTCATCTCTCAGGCCTGTCTATGGAGAAAGCCAGAAAGCAACCATAATAGCGTCAGTTGCAGTGGCGGATAAGCTTACCAGACTAGGCATAATTCACAAAGGATTGGTCCACTGCCGGATCCATGCACGTAGCGAGAGTAGCAGGTGCTGGAAGTGCTGGATGCATGGACATCTCCCAGATAAGTGCAAAGGGGCAGACATGTCTATGTTGTGCCTGAAATGCGGTAAACCAGGGCATAGCGCAAAAGACTGTAATAATCCAGCGTTCTGTCCAATATGTAACGTATGGGGGCATCAAGCAAGAAGACGGTGTGGTGAACAAGAATCACATGATCAAACGAACTTACCTGTAAGTGATGTCCAGTCTTAATTATGTGAAGTCCTCCATGAAGTAAATATTTAGCATACATATCTTAATACCCTCGTAGTAGTACCCAACCGCCACGAATTCAAAGCGCGCACGCAGAGAAGGAAAGCGGCACCGCGCCCCTTCACCCTACCTTTCACCCCTCTGGCCGCCTATAAACCTTCATTTACTTCAAAGCCTAGTTTTTGCAACAATTGGGTGGTACATAGCACATAGGAAGGGAGAGAGCTATTTACTTCGACGAGGACTTCACATAATTCCTCCATTAGGCGCGTGGATTATACTAACGTATTTAGGCGCGTGGATTACAATGGTAATCCATTTTATTTAATTTTTGAAATGTAAAAAAAATAAAGAAAAATTGAAATATGTATTTTATCGTAAACAAGAGACCTTCATTATATATAATACATTTTGTTTTCGGCGGGTATGCAAATTTCAGCTTATGGAAATCATAAATTATTGTACACGTGCTTTTTTAAGCCTTTATTTGCAAGTTTTCAATAATTGTTATTAAAATAAACATTAATTTAACTAAAACAGTAACTTAAGTATTTTATCCTGAATAAAAGTGTTTGTGAACTTGAATAAATGAAATAATAACAAATTATAGAATATACAAAACGAAAAATAGCATGACAAATATTTGCTACTTTTTACATTGACAAACAAGACGTACACACTTCCACCATATGTTCCTTGCATGCATGTCTGCTACATTTGTGGCAAATGTTTCTTGTTGATTTGTTACGACTTCTCGTGCAAATGTAGCAGCGACGTATGCAACTTCCTGGCATATCAGGTGGTGGTGGAGGAGGTAATACCTCTTCCAGTCCCAGCAGGTGGCGTGCTCGACGGCGGATTTCTCTTGGTATAACAGAAATAGTTGACCTGTGTCTATTTGAGGTTTTATTAGTTCCCAAGCAAATTTTTCAATAAAGTCAGATCTTAGGACTTTCTCGTTAGGGTGATTTGCTTTATAAACACAGCAAGCGTTTATTCCAGATATATTCAATAAGTCATAAAATACAACCATTGGCCATCGATTCGTTGTTCTAGCTACATTATAATTGTCACTCATCTGATCTACTAAATCTACTCCTACCTTCGTTTGATTGTAGCATGTTATTATTTCCGGCAATCTATTTTCACCACTTTCTGGATCGATAGAACTATCATGGTGCATTGAAGAAATGACTATTACTGCCTTATTTTTCTTTGGGCAATATGAAGCCATTGTGAGGTCTTCCCGAAAACCAAATATCGAGGTTTTTTCTTCCCTGTTCTTTGTTGGCAAGAATTCTGTTGGTATCTCCCGCTTATTCTTTCGCATAGTGCCCACGTACGTTAGTTTTTTCTCCAATAACTTAATTGCCAGTGGTACGCTGGTAAACCAATTATCGCCTGTTATGTTACGGTTTGTTCCTTCTACGGGTTGCACTAATCGCAGAACAAGATCATTTGGAGAGTTACTCAACTTATATGGTCCTTCAGGCTGAGCTCCCAGATATGGCTCAAGATTAAATGTATATGAAGTTTTAGCATCCACTAATGCATCTTTACATCTGAACATCTTTACTCCATACCTAGCTGGTTTTCTGGGCATATACTGTCTAAACGGACATCGGCCCCTAAAAGCCAGTAACTGTTCATCTATTGTCAAGAATTCACTTGAAATAAAGTTTCTCTGGAATGTAGCTAAGAATGTTTCAAAAACTTCTCTTATAGGTGCAAACTTATCAATTTCTCGTCTTTCATTTCTCGTTGTGATATCATCAAACCTCAAACATCTTAAAATAAATCTAAACCGCTTTTCGCTCATTGCCAAATAGCATGCTTCTATCCCACTGCCTTTTGAGTTATTCCATATCTTGTGAGCATTTTTTCTGGAACTTCTTAACGTCCCAATAAGAAACAAAATGCCAATAAATGCACTAATTTCTCTTTCGTCTGTTAATCTGACATCTCGATCCCTTTGAAATTTGTTTTTGATTTTTTCAATATACCTATTTGTCGAGCTGGTTATCATTCGAATAACACTATCAGTTATAAAAAGTTTTATACAGTCAATTTCTGATACTGCATCACGAGCACTGCCTTTTGGCCCAGGAAGTAACTTTATAATGTTATGAGATCGAACACGTACTTGTAAATTTGACCTACTTTTTCCACTTGGTTATTTTATCTTTGCCAAGATAATAACCTCCACACTTATTTTCTTCCACAGCTGCTGTGTCTTGGTCTGGTATGCCCTGATCTTCATCTGAAGAAATGTCTTGCTCGGATTCTGATTGATGATCGCTGTTCTCTACAAAATCTTCTTCTATCTCGTCTTCATCTTCTTCATCTAAATCACATTCCTCTTCACTTGAAAGCTCCTCGTACCATTTCATCCACATCTTTGGATCTGTACTACTTTTCAATCGAGGTTTTTTGGATTCGGACATTTTTTGTGTCTGAAATGATATATTATATAGTTTTTAGAATTCCGGTTGAACAAAGAATATTGGTTTTTTTAAAAATTAAGTAAAATAGGATACCCAAAAAAGACAGTCTGAAGTTTACCAATTCATACAATACTTTACAGTGAAAAAACTTACCGAAAGTACCAAACGGCAAAAACTCGAAACTATGCGATCTACAAAAACCGCAACGTAAATAGGCGCGTGGAGTACACTCGTAATCCAGCCGCGGTTTGCCCTTGTTAATCCGCTCAAACGCACTTCTCACTTGACTATTCGATACTAAGGAGCCTACATAGGATACCTACATCTGCTACCGACAGCTACTCAAGCGGGCGATTCTAACTGCGCGCTGATTTCTCGTTGGTCACTTCCCAAAGCGGTGTGGATTACAGTTGTAATCCACGCGCCTATTGGAGGGTTAAGATCGAACATCACTTACAGGTAAGTTCGTTTGATCATGTAATTATGTTCCGTCCTCGTCGAAGTAAATATTTAGAATACATACCGCAGATGTTCAAAGCTAGTTGCAACAACATACTACTAACGCTCTGCAATAATAAACCATAAGTTGTACACAACTACACAAATTGTACGCAACGCATGTGTCAACTACATGTACAAAGATGAGCCATCCAACTTGCACATACCTCTTGCATCTTCTGGCCTCCAAAAATACCGAATTGCAACGTTGTATTAGCACCGAAGACGGTCTGAAAAGCGGGATTGATACTGGAAGGTAAAATGTCAGAGCAATGCTTGGTTGCCTCCAGTGGCGGTGGGTTATTGCTGTTGATCAGGTGTAGGCTTAATTAAATTCCCAATATGGTGTGATTTTCAAAGCAGATTACATCTATATTTGTAATATATCTCCAGGCTTGTGGAAAGCAAAATATTTCCTTCAAATTTCAATATTCATGGAGAAGCAGGTTGTTTGGTTAATTTTCATATAGTATCATTATCTGCCGTTGGTAATAATGGAATCATCAACTTGAGCATTTGATAGACCAATTGCGTATGAGTGAAAGACGAAAGGTAAGAAATCAAAGGCCCTGGATGGAATGAAGCTTCTCAAACGCTGGGAGATTTTAGGTACGAGTTCGCGTCGTGTATCGGCGGAGTGTGGGTAGAGACAGTTGATTATGGTTTGTTCACCAAAATATTCATACAGATCATATTGTGGCGGAATCATTAATCTGAATATCCATAATGCTGAGTATATTATTAGCGTGTATGTCCAGCTTTACATCCACCCTTTAACTAGATAGATACACCCACACACATGCCGGTATACAATAGGTTTTTTTTGTTTTTGATTTACTGCCTGCATGCGACCAAGATATCCAAATAAAGGGCAGAAAGGTTACAGGCGGATGGTTCACCTGAATGGGTTCCCTACTTTTAATTTTATTGATTTCAACAGAGTAATGCCTAGTCTGGCATGTCATAGAGTAATTGAGTTTATACAGGGTAATACATATTATTATTTTTTCTGTCTAGACGATATATGATAAATAGCATTTTCTGGAAAATAGGCTTGTAAAATAGAGTGCTTTAGCGTTCCACCCATTGGCGATAACCCACCTGTCGTTCTGGTTTCCTTGACATTATGCAATATGAGTAACTACTATACTGATTCTAACAGAGGTTGGAATGGATTATTGTTCGGTCACAAGTTTAAAAATGAGTGTAAGAGCGCTAAACTTAGTAACCAGAAAAGAAAGCAGATTTTCCAAATTGTGTGCAATCACAATCACTTTGTTTTTTGTATGTTCGTATTTATTTTTAAGGGAACATGAATAATGTAGACTGAAGAGTAAAAAATTAAATAATGGAACATCACATCTATTTTCTCGCAATATACTTGAACGATCTACTTTGGAATTGTTTGGCAATAATCATTGACGTAGAACGCAAAACTAAACAACAAATTGGTATCGTATTTTCTTCTTTTTGATACTACCCAGTCATGAATCACAAAAATTTAGTTGTTCAATAAAGAGTTCCAGCACGGTGTAACTTTAAACTAACAACTTTTTAGGAGAGCATAAAAGAACGGTGATCCTTTGGAGTCGCTATCGAATGATCTTATAATCCTCCATGTTTGTCTAGTCGCAAATGAAACCTCATAAGCTAATAGTGCCTACTGATGGCACTCCGGCATTCACGGTGGCTTTTTTAAGCAAATACATAAGTTATTCTTTGCGTTTAGTGGTGTTACAACTTAAGCGATGATGTCTCAAATTCCAAATATGTTAGAATAACAATCGTCGCCTTTACATCATTAGCGGAGCATCGAAATATTAGCACCCCACTTCCTACTAGTTTCGCAACGCGTAAAACAATCCGGTGTTTTGCGGTCAACTACCTTCAGGTGACCTTCATTCCTGGATGTTTACCTTCCTCCTGACTAGCTGCAGCTCACAGACATCACAGTTTAACTGCATGTAGGATTTGGTATACCACAATGTAATTTCAGACACCTCGCCAAAAACTGTTTCAATGACGGAGTGACGCTACTCTTCTATAGTCCATATCATTTCGTCACTACTTGCTCAACCACCTTAGGCGTTAATGCGACGTTGCAGTTCAGTATTTTGGGAGGCCAGAAAATGAAGGAGGTATGAGCAACTTCGATTGCAGATTTTTATACATCTCCATTGTAACAATTCAAGCTTTTAGAAACAGCTAATATGACGTACCTGGTTCAAAAATTACCATCCATTTCATGGTAGTGAGCAAATAACGTAATAACATAGTTATGTTTAAGGTGTGGAGACTTGATTCACCACAAATGCCGCTTGAGCAAAGCTACTGTTTGGCATAAGAGATTTGTGACGTATCTCAGAAAACGCACTCCAGCCAGCCGCGAGCCTGAGACTACTATAATTTAGCAGGCGGAGGGGTAGACGCATTTCATGTACTGTGGGCTGTCAATTGTGACGCTCTCTGCTAAAACCGACTTCAACCATCTGGGAGCAGAGGCACAATGATAAAGTTACTGTACAATCACAAATAAATACTTTGACTTCACAGATATTTGGGCGTAAAATATAGTAAAACTGAAAGTGATTGCCACATGAGTGACCCCGAGACTTTCAAAAACTGAGAAATCCCAATTTCAATATTAGTCAACCCAATCCGCATGTTGTCTGTTTCAATTAGTTTGCACACTGACCTGAGGTTAGAGCTAGCAGTGTTGCTGATTTTCTCATTCAAATATCTACGGAGCTTACCAGCAACCCCTTTGGTTGGTTGAGAATAACCACAGTGTCTATAGTTCAGTTGAGATGGCCTCAGGCTGTAAATGCCCTTCAAAAACCATCTTATGTCTGCATCGTTAGTGACATATTGGGTAAAAGACTGATAGCTCAAACAATCATAACTTGATCTCTTATCACATGTAAGGTAAGAAATTTTAAGGTAGAAAACCAGACATGCATTTCTTCCCGACAAAGGTCCTACCGTAATCTAAACCCACAATACATGATGGATTATCGATGCTGATTGGAACAGCGACAGTGACGATAACCAGGATAAGCTTCAGAATTAGTGGGAGCGGCATCCTGAGTCTCTCCACCAGATCCTTGCGTTACTTCTAGAAGTGAAGTTTCAGAAACACCGAATACTTGAACCAAAATCAGGGCGGTGACAGGTGTAGCTCCCACTCCGTTTCCACGTCCCACTGACGCAAAAGCTCATCTGTATCAGTATTACTCTTAGTTTTTATATTTGACGTGAAGGCAGTGGTGTTTGATGATTAGCATGTGGGACCTTCTTCTCAGGTGAACAAAACCTAGAGACTTTTTCCAGGCCAACGGATGCCTCAGTCCGAGAAATTATACAACTAAAAATAGGATAATTCAATACCTCTGACCGCATCTGCCAGTTTCTTTGAGCCCCAGCCGAGGAAGACCTTAAGTTATATTATGTTATTGGCATAGTAGCGTTAAAATTCCCTTGAGAAAAGGCAAGACATTTCACTCGTCAGTGTATAGTCGGCTGTAACGAAACGAAAGACAAGCTGCCAGCAATATCCCGATGTTCAGCGCAAAATTTCGGACTCTGTCTTAGTTGCTGCCCATTATTGCTCTTACTAGGTTTAGTAATGTCTGTATCATCCACTCAAATAAAGCTACTTTCCTTCTGTCACAATTTAATACTGAGCCTGAGAGTACTCAATTGTTTCTTAAGGTATTCCAGAAATGGTTTTATTAACTTTGTGGACACATGAGGGGCACAATTTACCCTAAACGGTACATCATTGTATTGGAAGAGCTATCCCTTAAATAGGAATCTGAATTATACTCTATGACTCTCCCTAACGGGTACCAAAATCTCTGCATATTCCAAATCCAGATTCGTTAAGAAAGTATCTCTACGGATAAGTGTGATCCCAGTTCAATAGCCTAGACTTAAGTGTTCTATCCCTCTAAACAGACAAAGTGTCTTGAGGTAAGGAATCGAACGTATCGACCCATCCGACTTACGGGCAGGAGACAGTTGTATAGGTACTGATTTTCAGTTAGCTTAACTTTTTTATTGATAGCACCGCAGCTAAGCAGTTGAGAGACTGTCGTAGGTCGGTAGTTCATAGATGGGCTAATGAGATCCAGCTATGGCAAAGTGCTGAACCAGTCGCCATCTGAATGACAAGTGACCACTTGAGTCCAACTCAGGACTTTAGTGCCACTCCTAAAGCTCTGCCATTGATGATGAATACTCGTCAATGTCAGTGCTGACTTACACACCTCATCTGCAATAATGTGTTGATGTTGTCTGACCTTTTAGCCTTCAGCTGCTGCTCAGTTTATCTGATTTCTATTTAGAATTGACCTGCACCGAAGAACAAGATATCAATGGAAGCCTCTGTGAGAATACTATCGAGTCCTTTGCTTTAATATGAATATCTGCCAGCATGCGCTCCTTTCCCCTCTTTGAACCTAGGGGATAGAGTATTGCCACTTGCAGTTAATGAACAGCTC